TAACGGAAGTGATCGGGACCATTGGAGGGGTCAATGCATATATAAGCGCGGTGAAGAAGGCGGTCCTCGGCCCCTTCTTGATTCGGTGTGACGAGTGAGTGTTATAMGGGTGTGGTTACGATTTCTAACTCTGGTTACTAACTTTTTTCTTTTCGGTCTTTATCTTAAACCTTAATACTTAAGTCTTTGTTATATTATAATAAACATTTCTATTATTTCGATTCAATAAAATCATATATATATATATATTTCTTTGTCTGTCTGAAACCACGCCAACCATCATCACACCACACCCCCACAATAAAATTTATTTTTTTATTTTTTTATTATGTGGCATTAAAAAATACATACAACCCTAAATTTTCACTCTTCTATCACCAACCCCTGCTTTTTAATAGTCATTTTCATAATTTTATCATTTTTTATCCCGCTCGATAACATCAATTATTATCACTTGGTAAGTTATCCCCTCCATGTGTCTACCGGTGTCACTTCTCACCCAGTAAACAGCACGGAGTAGGGATGACAACGAAGATAGTTTCCTATTTCTCTCAAACAATAAGCCTTCTCTCACTCCCTCTGCAGTTTATTGGCTATTATTAGTGTTTATGCGTCAAGCGTAGTAGTTAAWCATTTTTACTATCTCAGTGTAACTCTCATATCAAGTATATTCTTAAGTAACTTTATTATTTATTTAATAATAACTAATATTATTGAATATAATTAATTATTATTAACTAATAAAACTATTAATTTTTAGTGTAATTCGCACGATCAGTTAATTAAGTGATTTACATAACCTCTAAAATACTCAACACGTGCCACGAGTTCCCGCAAACAACGGCTATTGAGTTGTAAGTATAAATTATTTTTATACGTTTATTATAAAATCAAAAATTATTCTTTCTTATTTATAAGGAAAATATTGTTGGGAATGGTGAAAAATGAATTCGGTGAAAGTTARATTTTTATTACAATTGGGAAATWTTTTTTGTGTTTACTTATAAGAGCTYTAACTTCTACAGAATTTTTTTTTCACTATTTCTAACAATATGTATTTTYGATATAATTARGAAAAATAAAATTTTTYGCTTTCATGAAACTATMTAATTYTTACATGTATATTTAATGTAATCAAAGATAAAATAAATTATTAATATAATAATTTTCATCATTAAATAATTAAATCAGTTCTATTTATGTGTGTTTTGTATTGTACAGTGAACAATGCCAACAAAACGCAAAGGGGTTAATTTGAGCCGTGATACAAATAAATCTAGAARCATTCGAAATAGAAGAGCCCAAAAAACCGAAGAACAATTTCAGGAAGAAAATACTGGAGCGCGTGTGTGAATGTCGCAATTRCGTCAAGAATAATTAGACGATACACGAGCTGAACGCAATGAAGTCATGAGATTAGAACAACGACAATCACACCGTTTTACTGTCAATAGACGCAGAGCAAATGACCAACAACGCCAACAGACACATCGAGCATTTGTAGCTAATTCATTCCTGTGTCTAGCATTCCAGTATGAACCTGATATTGAATATTATGCTCATTCAAAAGTGGTAATTGGTGCTATGGACAAAGAATTCCCGTATTGTCATGCTTTGAAATTCAAAAATGAACCAG